ATATATGTGTGTGTGTGTGTGTGTGTGGTGTTATATATGCATTCATGTCAGTGTATGCATTTATATGTGGGTGGGTGCATATGTGCATGTAGAGGCCAGAGGTTGATTTTGAGTGTCTTCCTTGATCACTTGCCACCTTTTTTTTGGGGGGGGGGGCAGGGTCTCTCACTGACTCAGGGATAGGCTGGCTGGCTAGTTGTGTTCCAGGGATTCATCTGTCTCCAACCTCATCTTCCCCAGCCCTGGGATTACAAATGCTGGCTGCCATGCCTTACTTTTTATGTGAGTGCTTGAGGATCAAAACTCAGGACCTCATACTTGTGTGTATCAGCCATTTTAATCAACTGAGACATCTCTCCGGGACCCTTGCTTCCCATATTTCTTTAGTGATTTCCTATGTTTAAACCAGTATATTTGGTGCTATAGATTGAGCGAAGGGAAATAAGAATAATAAACAAAGAGACCTTGATTTTGCATGTAGTTTACTGCTGTCCCTTCAATTAGTTCTCATCTACTCATGGAAGCCCAAGATTGGGACTAGGGTGGCTCCCAAACAGTCACATCCCATAGAAGCCCAAGACAGTGGGGTTAGGGTAGCTGCAAACAGTCACATCTCATCTTGGCAACTTCCAGCTCCTTATTAAACAATAAATAATGATTTCTGGACATTTATACAGACTTGAGAGAACTTTAACTTTAATTCTTAACTAGCTCTGACAGCCAAATTAGGCCAGATTACAGCTCAGTTTATATCTCCCACCACATTGGAGCCTGCTGATCAATGGTAGCTCACTACCTGTTAAGCCTGTTTTTACTTTCCAAAAGGCATATGAAACTGAGGTCTGATCTTGCTTAGAATCTGAATGATATGCTTGACAAATCAAAGCATTCATTTATAAAGAGAAAGGATACTCCACTATTTCTCCAAGTTTGGGTAAGCTGGTATGCAAATGAACTAGTGTGTGTGTGTGTGTGTGTGTGTGTGTGTGTGTGTGTGTGTATATATATATATATATAATTTGCGGACCCCTGGAAGATTAAATTTGTTAACTAAGACCAAGCTAATCTCTTTCAGTTTAATTTTAAAGTTTTCTGCCATCACTATAGTCATCAATGTCTGTTTTGATATTTGAAGTTGTATTGAAGGATTTGAATTTCATAATTTTTTTTTCTATTTGAGACAGGGTCTCCCTGTAGTCCCAGCTGGCCTGGACTCACTATGGAGAACAGGCTAGCCTCAATCTCATAGTGGTCCACCTGCCTCTGCCTCTTGAGTGTTGGGATTAAAGGTGTGCACCACCATGCCCAGAGTTTTGAATTGCATAATTCTAATGTATTAGGAGATGCTGAGTATTATCATATATTGATATTTATAGTTATGGAATTGAATCTTCCTTAATTATTTTTCCTTTTCAATAGAACTGTGGCAAAGTGTTTGCTTTACAAGTGTGTCACTGGTCTTCCTCATGTTGATACTTTCTCAGTCCTCTCTCTCTCTCTCTTTCTCTCTCCCTCTCTCTCTCAATATGTTATTTTTCTGTTGATTTTATTTTTTTTTAAACTAGGTCATTTAAAAACAATCTAATAAGGAGTTCTTTCAATGATTGCAGATCTGTAAGGCTGCTTGGTAGTATTCAGAAACATGACAATAGTTAATGGTGGGTTTTCTTGAGGTTTATAGTCTTCAGTAATGATCAGGAGTTATTTGTATGAAAATGTAAACCAGCAAGACTGCGTTTATACATGCAAACATTTTCAGTAGGTTTGGTAGCCTGAACAGACCTCCCTCCCTCATACCCTGTCTCCTTGTGTCACAGGCACACTCACTTCAATAGCTGTGCCTTTGGTGATTGCACCCAGAGTGGGATATAATGGGGATTAGAATTTATTAAATCAGTTACATCAAAACAGTAACAGCAATTGTCTCACACCTGAGGCTGAGGACCCAGTAGCTGCATGGCCAGGGGGGTCTCAGCAGCCAGAGTAGTCAGCCTCACTGTGACTGTCTCACACTGGAGAGACCAAGAAGGCTGTAGTTGCTCAGTGTATGGGACAGGGTGCCAGCAGTGAAAGTCTGGAAACACTGGTTCTCATGTCAGTAAAGGAATCAGCAGCACCAGGGTGATCACATGGCAAGAGGGAAAACCAACAGATAAAAGGCAGATAATCTTCCTTCTGCCACACCCTTTTTATCTGGACTGCTGCCAGAAGAAGGTAGCATATTTAGGGTGTGTTTTCTTACATTAATTAAAGCAATCAGGACGATTCTTTTTCTGTTGTTGATTTATTTATTTTTATTTTATGTGTATGAGTGCTTTGCCTCTCTGTATGTAAGTATACCAAGTGCCTGAAATGCCTGTGGAGGTCAGAAGAAGGCGTCGGATCCTCCGAAACTGGAGTTATGAATAGTGGTTGGCTGTCATATGGGTGCAGGGAACTGAACCCAGGTCCTCTACAGGAGCAGCCAGTGCTCTTAACCACCGAAAATTCTTCAGTTGAGGCTCCCTACTCAGGTGATTCTAATTTGTGGCAGGTTGCCATTAAAACCAACCATCACAGGGGCCTTCCTGAAACATAAGCCCGTCAGAAAGAAACTTTCAGACCGAGGTGGCTTTCCTTGAGGCTGTCAGAACAAAGCAGACCTTGGTGTCTGTCCTCTTTCATGTGTGTCTCTCTTTCCTGTTTCAAGAGCCTTAATACTCCTTTGATCCTCTCCTCATGCATCTTGATAGTCATTCTCATTTGTATTTTCTTAGCAAGAAGCTGTTTGTATAGAGCTTAGCTTTGGATCATTTTCCCCCCTCCTTTGAGCTTCCCTACTTTCTCTTTTTCTCATGGTAATCTGAATGATATCCATAGCATTTTTGATGTAATTCAATATATTCATTTGTGGCATGGTAACAGCTGCAGAGCCACTGGGTGCAGCTTTCAAAATATAAAGAAGCTCTCATTTTTTTTTTTTTTTTGCCCAAGAGACCCATGAGCTGTCTTCTCACAGCTTGAAAAGGTCTTCTTTTATTGACTTTAAGTTTCACCTTCCAAAGTGTTAAGAGTTTCCATTCAAGCATCAATTCTCTCTGTAGTTAATCACATACAAGTTTTCACATTCATTTGTGCTACTCTCTAGAGCCACCAGGCCCAGAAATGATGCATCTGTGGACTAACAAAACTCAATGACCCCGACTTTCTCAGTCATCACTACGGACAAATCTCACCACTCTTGACCAGTTGCAACCAGCCATGATTCTTGTGCACCTGTAAAGAGGGTGGATGAGTGATCTTTCTAAAAATATGTTCCGGAAAGTTGCTGCAGAACTGATTGTATTGTTTGCATGTAGCTTGCTTTGGGTCAGAGAAATCCGTGTCACTGAGGACAGTGGCTGGGTATGGAGCTGCTTTCTGCCTTGTTTCCTGCTCTTAATCTACAGATGTGTAGTGCATGGCCCTGTGGAGGCTATTCTACTACTTTGCAAATGTGTTGCAAAATTAGACCAGATTTCTAGATAAAGCCCCAAGGTTAGAAGGCTATCTGATTTGGTTGATTCCAGTGATAATTTGTTGAGCACCCATGTTCCAATCATGAGCTAAGTAATTCTTAGCCAACAGCCCTGTTAAGTACTTCCCCTTGTTTCATAGATGAAGGCTCTGAGGTTTAGGTAGGACAGGTAACTTGCCTAGGGTGATGTAGCTCCACAGAACCTGGGCTTGATGTCAGTCTTCCCTGGAAGCTCATGCACATGGCTCTGTGCTAGTCTATCTTCTTTCTTTTCAGTCAGCTCTTGGCCCTTGCAGTGTGGCAGGCTGAGAGCTACTCCAGTGGCATTTGACCTTCACTGATGGGTGAGACTCTATAAGTGTGAATGGTGGAGCCAGTTAGCTGCTCAGTAGAGCACTGCCAGCATAGACAGAGGGTGCTCTGTCACACAGTGGGGCACTTTTCCAGTCTTTCCATTTGGGATTCCAGTGTCTCAGAATTGATCTCAGAAAGGGTACTTGTATGGTGTTCATGGGCCCAGGCTGAATGCCAGCTGTCCCGATATGCAGTCAGAGCTGTGGAGGGACAGCTGGGAGGGCTCTGAAGGAAAGGATGTGAATTATGGTTCATGGACTCTCTTTCTCTGTAGCTGGATCTCATTTGCTGCTTGCTGGAAACCAGTTGGAGGAAACACAGCGTTCATCCTTGGGTTCTTCACCTGTACGCAAGTATTTTTCAATCTCTTTCATTATGGTGTGCAAAGAGCCAGAAACACTTATGGCTGCCTGTTCTTGCAAAATCCGTTTTGCAACATTACTTCACAGCAGTTCTCACCAGCCTCAGTATCATCTACCTTAGTTTTATATTCAGAATTCAAAGTCACTTCAGCTTTTCTCTATCTATCCCTGACATGTGGGTGATGAAAAGCATATGGGTCCATTATTTCTAGGGGAAATTTCAGTTGATACAATTTATAATCTATGAGTGTACTGTCTACATGGTCCTCAGGTGTTGGCATGAGTATGTTGTAAGACTCTAGGCCTTTGGCTAATGGTCACTGTCTCATTTATGAAGCTTTCTATGGGGCCTAGCACTTGGTGTGAATCCCTGAATGTGGCTCTCAGAACCACTGTTTAGGACAACCTTGGCTGACAAGCTGTTTTGATATTTTTTACCCAGTGATAGGCGTGGCAGTGCTGCAGATTTTGAAGTCTTTCACCTCATGACCAGGATTCTGGAAGCTACTGACAGTTTGTGTTTACCTCTGCCTCCAGGTAAGTCTGGCTCTCTTGTCCTTTGGCATAATAGATTTGTTCTATACATGGTCCTCAGGTGTTGGCATACTCTAGATTTCATGAAGACACCCGGCAGCTGTTGCAGATAGGCATTGAGGTTGGTCTCTGCTGGCCAGACCTCCCCTGACTGCTAAACTACACCGTAGCATGCTACTACTTTTAAGGAGCCTTACCAATTGGTTCCCACACACTTTTTAAAGCTTAATTCGAACCACTGGTTCTAAACTAAGGAGCTTTCTCTGCTATCTTCAGGCCTAATTTATTGTATGGCAATGCCTGAAGGCTGACAGGAAGACGTCATCTCTCTTGGTGCCAAGAACTAAACTGATTCTTAGGTGCCTAGAAGCTAAAAATTTCCCTAAGATTTTGAGGGAGGACCTGATTGGGCTTCAAAATACCTTTAGAATGTATGTGTACAGTTATTCATTTAGCTGGTCATTTGTTCAGTCCACAAGCAGGTGTAGCAATTGTTTCAAGGCAGGTAATGTGTTGGAAATTAGAGTAGTTGCAAGCTTTAGTAGACAGTAGGATGATGTGTGTATATCAGTATCCTTTATAAGGAACGAGTAAGCTCCTGTTTGCCATAATTGCCTGTGCTTGTTATATTTTATAGTGAGAACATCTAACATGCACCCTGACTTCTTAAAACTTTAAATATGCAGTATAGTATCAACCAGACACACAATGTTGCATAGCTCTCTAGAACGTTCTCATCTTACGTCACTGCAAGTTTTAATATTCATTGGACTGCAGTTTCCCTTTTGTCACCTGATCTCTGGCCATCACCTTTCTATGCTGCTCTATGAATTGGACTATTTTAGACCCTTATTATAAAGGAAACTATGTAGTATTTGTTCCTTTGGTGACTGTTTTATTTTAAGGCACATAGTGCTCTTCAGGCCCACCCATGTTGTCATGGATGACATGACAATTTCTTTTTACAGCTAAGAAGATTCCACTGTATGTATATTCTATATTTTCTTCACCTATTCATCCATCAATGAGCATTTGTGTTGTTTCAATATCTTGGCTATTGTGAATAATGATTTAATGAACATTGAAGTATACAAATATCTTTAGAAACCTTGATTTTAATTCCTTTGGATACTCAGATCCAAAGGAATCTGAGTTGGATTACTGGATTGTATGCTCATTCTTAATTTCTTCGAGGAGGCTTTATACAGTTATTCATAATGGCTGCATCATGTTGTAGCCCTGCCAACAGTACACAGGCTTCAATTTCTCCATGTTCTTCCAACACTTAATGGTGTTTTTTGGTAATAACCACCCTGAGGGGTATGAGGTAATATTTCATGATGATTTTGACATGTATTTCCCTGATTAGTGATGTTAAACATCTTTTTATGTAACTTGTATGTCTTCTTTAGGGAAAAAATGTCTCTAAGTCTTTTGCATGTTTTAAAAGTTGGATTATTTTCTTGTTATTGACTTTAATATTTTTTGTGTTCTGGACATTAACCCCTTGCCAGATTTATGGTTACATGTATTTTCTCTCCCATTTTCTAGCTGCCTTTTCACTCTGTTATCTCCTTTCCTCCCTTCTCCCCCAACTGCAGGCTAGTGTAGCTCAGGCTAGCTTTGAACTCATTATGTGGCCAGTGCTGGCCTTGAACACCCGATCCTCTTACTTCTACCAAGTGCCGAGATTACAGGCATTAGTACCTACACCATTACTGAGATTAAAGGCATTAGCATCACATCACACCTGGCTTCTCCGTTTCTATTAAATGTTTATTTTCTTTATGTGATGTGGAAATGAGAGGGCTGAAGTCACAGTGGATCATGTATGTGTGAATACATTATGTATACATGTGTGTAAGGGTGTTTGCTTTTCAGATCTACCGGTCTAGTGAGAACTATTTGAGTTCCAAGAGTCCAAGAGTGAGGCCCATAAAAAGGAAGTGGTTGTTATTTTTGTCTTTAAAAAGCACCTGTATTTCTCTCACTGGATACAGCAAGGCCAGCAGCCCTAAAGGATGAAGATTAAGTTGGTGGAACTGATGCCTGGTTATAGTAAAGCCCCTGTGCCCTGTGCTCTTCCCAGAGCAGACACACAGAGAGGAGAACAGGAACAGGCCCCTGAACTTGGGACTGTACCACAGAGATAGCAGATCGAATGCCTTTGGGGATGTTCAGACAATGAACACAGGGCTGGAAAAGGACTTCTAAATACAGGAAAGTGATACGATTCATGATATACTATAAACATTTCATCAGAAATAACTTTGTGATTTTATTAATCAGGGAAAGAATTTCTAAATCCACATGTAAACACTTATGTTGATTAGCTAGTAATACAATTTGTTTTGATTAGGGAAACTAGTGGACTTGGCTCACTTTTAGCCCATTCATATCCGCTTGAGGATAAAGTCTGCCCTTCATCTAACCCTTGATGTTGCCAGGAGTCAGGCCTGTTCCACTGCTCATGATTCATATGTTCAGAGAGAAAGTTCCATGATTTCTCAGAATCCAAACCCCAGCTCATTGAGCATCATTCTTTTGCTATATATATCTCTGAGAGCAGGTGATGCTTCTCCATCATTCCTGTATCCATTCGGCTGCTCAGCCTGTGCATGTTGCCATGGGTCACTTCCCAGCTCCTCATTCCTTCTCAATACCCCCACCCTCTTGTACATGTCCAGGTAACAGTGTCCCTATGGGTCTAATCCATTCGTTGCCTGTTGGCATATTAATATTCCAAAATAAAATCCAAATCCTTTTTCTGTCCTACTCAAAAGTTTTTGGTGCCTCCTCAAAGTTGCCTAAATTAATAATTCCTTGCTAAGTCAGCATTTTGTCGATGATATATGCACTCATAGCACAGAACTGATCACGTATAAATATGTGTTTATGTTTGTGCTGAACTGACTGCCTCCTCTATCAGACTGCAAGGTGTACAGGAGCAGTAATGGTCCCTATTTTCTTCATTTTTGTACTACTTGTCCCCCTGCCTTGTGTGTGGAAGGGATTTGTTGAATAAATTAACCTGTCCAACCTGTTAATCATTCCTCTTTCACATCAGAATCCAACACAAATGAATCATTTCATGTTTTCTGAATGTGCTCCATGCTCTCTTACCTTTGGTCTTCTGTTCATATTGTTCCATTAACATAGCTAGTTACTGAGTAACTACAATCCCACAGCTCTCTTCAGGCCATTTCAACCTTTTGTTTACTATTTATAGGATGCTGGGAAATTTCTCAACTCCTGTGAATCTCAGTTTCTCTGTCTATGAAATGGGAATCTAGTAGTTGCATCTGATAGCATTGGATATGGATCAGGTCAGCTAAGATTCACATAGAGCGAAGGCCTTAGGGCATGTTTGGTGTTAGCCACTGCTCTACCATGCTGAGCTCTTCATGTACCCGATCCAGTCCTTATTACAGCCCTACAGGAAAGGTATTGGTGGTTCCATTTTAGGGATGAAGAGATGGAAGTTCAGAAAGGCCAGCTACACAGAGCTGGCTAAAGAACTCAGTAGGATTCTAACCCAGGTCTGCTTGAGCCCCACCTGGTAATTTATATGCACCAACATGTTCCCTTGTCTCAGTTTTCACTCCTGGGACTTGATTTTCTGACTCTTGCCTGGTCTGGTATTTTCTCCTGGTGTATCTTGCTTTTATCCCTTGTTACTAATAGTGTGTATAGAGCTCTGCATTTCAGTGTTTCATAGTCCCACCCTTGAGAGTTTGGCTTGAGAAAGCCTATTTCCCTACTAAATTCCCACAGGAATGTCATCCACATTTGTGCTTTCTGTCATTTCAAGTAGACCCCAAAACTATTAACTCCTGGTCCCAGTTTTTTCTCCTTCAGCAAAATGGTCCCTATCCCAACAACCTTTAGCTTGGACATAATGAGTGTGAAGACTTCCTGTTCTCTTTTGCTATAGAATTGCAATATGTTAAAGTGTAAAGTCATTTTCATTGAGTAGGCTTTGGCCTAGGAAGGGATACAAAGGTAGGGAAACACATCCTTACTAAGGAAATTACTACATAACCAGCACGACGCTTAGTACTGGTGACACAGGAAGGAAACTTGGACCTTATCTTCAAGGAATTCAGTTGACTCTAGACCGCATATCCCAAGCTAAATGCTTTATTGACATGATCTGACCCATTCCCTCTGGAACTCAAAGATACTGGCTGATCACATCGACCTCTGCATCACTCACCCTAGGTTTCCACTCTCTGCACACGATCCTTGGGGTTCACTGTCTCCCTCTGCACAACTTGCTGCATTACATTGATAATGGAGTGCTGCGGCTCACTGAGACAACTGTCGTAAGGCTTATGAAAGGTAAGCATCTCTGAGTTTGCCAGAAGGTGAGTTCCAGTCTGGGTACCTCCAGAGCCTACTTTCTGGATGTGCAACACAGAACCTAGCTGCACTCAGAGCGGTTAATGTTCAGCTCAGTGTTCTGCAGTAAATATTGAAATTCTTAATATTTGAACATTTACTATCTTGTTTTTTCTTGGCTCTGGGCCCCACAAAGTATATAGTTGGCACTGTTGAGTATAATCCATTTCCCGGAACCATCCTTCAGGCTAATAACTGAAAGCACTTTAGCCCTTCAAGAAGCCCTAAAGGACTTCAGAATCCCCATGCAGTTATTAGATTTGTTTTCTGTACATGAGGACATTAGAAGGCTAGGAGTCTGTAAGCTTGTTTCTTAAGAAGTGTCACGAATGGGTTACTTTCAGCTGATGAATTCCATCATTAAAGTTAGATTTGAGGCTGGGCATGGTGGCACTCACTTTTAGTCCCAGCACTTGGGAGGCAGAGGCAGACAAATCTCTGTGAGTTTGAGGCCAGCCTGGTCTATATAGTAAGTTCCAGGCCAGCTAGGGCTACAGGGAGACCCTGTCTCAAAAAGACCAAAAAAAAAAGAAAAGTTAGATTTGAAATGTAAGTAATGAGAAATACAGTGCTTATATGAACTTGATCTTTAAATACTGTCGGTAGCATGATCATTCTCACGTAAGTCATTTAATGCATGTGTTTTGGTAACATGTATCAAAACACCATTCTTCAAAGTACCTTATACTTTAAGTTAGTTGATAAAATTGCTTTGAGCTGGCAGCATGATTAAAAATAAAATTCCAGGGCTGCAGAGATGGCTCAGTGGTTAAGACTACTGGTTGTTCTTGCAGAAGACTTGGGTTCAAATCCCAGTACCCATATGGCAGCTAACAACTGTTGGTAACTCCAGTCCCAGGGGATCCGACAGCCTCTTCTGACCTCCATGGGCATTGCAGGACATGGGTGTACTTACCTACATGCAGGCAGTACATGAATACACATAAAAAAAAAAATCCAAGCCTGGTGTGGTGGTGCACACCTTTAGTCCCAGCACTCAGGAGGCAGAGGCAGGCGGATCTCTGTGAGTTCAAGACCAGCCTGGTCTACATAGTGAGTTCCAGGACAGCTGGGGTTATAGGGGACCCTGTCTCAAAAAGAACCCCCCCCTCAAAAAAATCCAGCTGTGTGTGGGTGGTGCACACCTTTAATCCCAGCACCTGGAAGGCTGGGATCTCTGTGACAGCGAGGCCAGCCCAGTCAAAGCAGCGAGTTCCAGCTACGGGATACAGGCAGTTGGGGATACAGAGAGACCCTGTCTTGAAACAAACAAACAAAACAGAACTAAAACAAAAAAGCCACCAAATTAAAAAAAAAAAACAACAAAAAACCCCCTTTATGTATTTCAAAGTCCTTAGATTAGCCTGAAAATGCAGTATTAGACATACCTGGATGAACTGCTTAAGCTTGTTGAGGTATTAGAGTGGATCATTCTGTTTTATTGGCCAATCTCTAACTTTCTTACAGATCTGGACAACACAGAAAAAAATGAAAAACTAAAATTCGGCATCATTATGCGGCTTCCTCCGGTAATCTTCCCTTAAGCCTTGGTACCACACTCCTTCAATTTTATTTCTTGCAAGAAGAGCATTTCCTGGCTTTTGGCTGAAGTCTACAGAGTTTAATTTTCAGTCCTTTCCAAGAAATCCCATCCATTCCCACCCTTCTGCTGGCTGTTCCCACTGAGCCTGCAAAGCATGTGCTTCTCTGGCATGTCCTGTGCTGGCACAACACTTAGAGAGATCATTTACCTAGTTCTCCTCTTAGGAAACCACACTAATATTTACATCTGAGTCTGAGTAGGAGAGAGAGGGGAAACATGTGCCTTTGACATTTAAACTGATAAGAGATTTAAACACAGGTGAGGTCAGAAGGTTCTAGAACTGCATTTCCTCCTCCTACCACATTTCTGTCCACAGGAAAACATTACCTACTAGGTCAAAGAAAGAATGAAAAACATGAGAGGAAACTGTTATAAAGGCACTCCTTGCTTTTTGGGGGGGAATATTAGTCATAAATATGAAAAGATGAAATTCCGCAGCAAGGTCTTTCAAACCTCCGACTTCGTAAACTCCCTGACCTGGGAGCCTGGCCAGCCCTGTCTGTTCCTCCTCCACTGCACTTCCTCTCGCACTGTTGGTCCTCCCCAAAAGGGATGTCCATTTGCTTTCTGGACCTACTAGTCTTGCTTAGTAGCCGTCCCTCCCCCTCAGCAGTTTACTAAAACAAAGACGAAAGTAGAAAACAAAGCATATTTTTCCCTGGCTCAGTCTCCCTGAGGAACATTGTTGAACATTAGTTTGGTCTCCCAGTCTGACTTTTTTCCCTGTATTCTTAGGGTATTAAAAGTTTCTAGGCATGGCAACAGCAGCAAAATTTATGTAAACACACACACAACCTTTAGTTTCCTATCATATTATTACTTAGGGTTGGGATGCTTATCTCCAGCTTCAAAGACTCACAGATAAACGTCATTCCAGAAGGAAGAATTTGGCAGCACTGATAAATAAGCTGCTTTCCTCAAGGTAGCTATCGAGGGAGTACTTATTCAAAATTCAGAATCCTACCTCATGAAGCATGACCTTGCTCCAGTGCTCATTAATCACAAAGGATCTGTCTTTTAGAATAGCTAGCTACGTGAAGTCATGAATAGATATTGGGTATATTTGATGCACTGTGAGCTGTATTCTCTGTATTTTTCAATTTACACTCTAGCTTATTGGCAAGAAGATCTGTCGGCTTTGGGATCATCCAGTAAGTTCCAACATCATTTCAAGGAAACATGTGACACGACTGCTTCAGAACTATAAGAAAGAGGTGAGTATGTGAAATCCAGCCACTAAATGTGGGATTCCATCTCATCTGCCCATTTCAACATGTCCTATAGACAGGAATACTGATTCTTATCACTTATTAAATTTAAATTTGGGTTTGTCTTGGAGAATCAACTAACATAGGAGGTGGTTTCCTTTTAGCCTCGGAACTCTATGATTGACAAATCATCATTCCCAATAGAATTTCTGCCTCTGAACTACTTCATTGAAATTCTGACAGATCTAGAGTCCTCCAACCAAGGTAATTCACTCTGCTCACAGTCATCAGTCCCCAGATACATCAATTACTCCCTGCTCACATTTTGTATTATTTTCTTCCCTAACACCCTTTCCTTATAAGTAGGTGCTTACTACAGTTGACTTAATATCAATATACACTTTAGAACCTTAATTGCCAAAGGAACAATTCATCACCTTTGAAGTTTTAAAAGGGCTTGTGGATTTAAAGCCTATTTAGTTGATGTGAGTGCTCTTTCTTGGTACTAAAGTTTAATGAAATTTAACAACACACTCTCAAAATAACACATTCCCCTAAAATATAAAATGATGATTTCAATGAGTTATGGGAACAAAGTTATAAATATTCCACAGTAACACAGACTCTGTCCCCCTCTCTTTTCCCAGCTCTGTATGATTTTGAAGGACATGACAGTGTGGATGCAGAATTCGTAGAAGAAGCTGCTCTGAAGCACACAGCCATGCTTTTAGGCTTATAGAGGAGGACACACAGTCAGTCTGCTTTGGATAATTCAATCTTGTGTAAACTTTCCTTTATTGAGAATTTTTCAGCAAATTTGGCAACAAATCAGAATATATTGAAGAGCCATTTGAGTTCCAGTTTAGTCCTTGCCCAGATACAGCAAGCTGCTGTATCTCATTCCAGTTTTGAACAACCAATGAACAGTCATGGGCAGAGAAGTGGCCAATAGTCCAAGAACACACGAAGTGGCATGAACGGTGCTCTTCCTGGCTCAGCAGGCCAAAGCTAGTTTCTACTACACTCCAAAATAAAACAAAAAAAAAATGTAGAGAACAGTGCTTAGAGTAGCAAAAACAAGATTCATCACTGATAAATAACAGAAAAATTAAATGTTATAAAGAGGATTAAACAAAAACCTAAATTTGGACTAAATTAAATCTGCCATCTCTAGCATAGAGAAATATTTGTAATAAATAGTAGATTGTACATATGACATTTAGAGTAGGGTTTGGTTTTGTGATGGTTCAGATTGAACTGTAATTTTTTTATGTATGAAGGTTTGATTTAGTAATTTCTTATCATTAAACACAAACTTAAGTGCTGAAAGCTTTGGTCTGACTCTTCCTATTTTTTGAGCATAGCCTTTTTATTTGCATGAGACATCTAAAACTTTATTTTTATTTTATGTGTATGAGTATTTTGTCTGCATGATGTAAGTGCACCACATGCATGCAGTGCCCAAGGAGGCCAGAAGAGGGCATCAGATCCTCTGAAACTGAAGTTATGGAGGCTTGTGAGCTGCCATGTGGGTGCTGAGAACTGAGCCTGAGTCTTCCACAAGAGCAGCCAGCAGTCTTAAACCACTGAGCTGCCTCTCCAGGCCCTGTGTGAGGCATTTTGAATCCATGAGCATGTTCCTGCAGATGCCCCCATGTGACACCTCATTAGGTGTTGCATCTTTCTTTGCCCCTTCTGTCTTCTATGGTGACTCCATCCTGCCCCATAAGTGCAGTTATTTTCTAAGTCCACTCATAATCTTCTCTCTTCTTGCTGCTTCTCTTCATACATAATGAAATTTTGATGATTCTAAATGTCACCAACTGGTACACTAATTCAACTTATTTTCTAAAATCATTGTATTCTCAAAATTTTTCTAGCTTATAAAATTTTCCTTTTTACTTCAAATACTTTATGGACAGCAAGGCTCAGAATTTTGGTGCCAAATCAGCAATGCAGCAATAATGTGTATTCAAATTACTAGATGTAACAAATTATTCTCTACTGGAGATAGCAGATTTTATTTAGTTCAAATTCAACTTTAATAAGAGTATTTGGGTCTGGTGAAATGGCTTAGTGTTTAAGAGCACTGGCTGTTCTTCTAGAGAACCTAGGTTCGGTTCCCAGCACCCACATGGCAGCTAACAACTGTCTATAATTCCAGTTCCAGGGGGATCTGATACCCTCTTCTGGCCTCCACGGGTACTGTACACACATGGCACACATACAGCATGCAGGCAAACCACTCACATAAAATAAAAACAAATAATTTTTAAGATTTATTGACTTATTTACTTATAAAACTTTGTGTATGTATGTGGGTGTGTAGGGTGTGTGTGTGTGTGTGTGTGTGTGCATGTGAGTGCAGGTGCCCATGGATGCCCAAAGAAGGTGTTGGATCCTGTGGAGCTGGAGTTACAGGTGGTAGTTAGCCATCATGTGGGTACTGGGACTCGGACCAGGGTCTTCTGCAAGAGTAGCCAGTGCCCTTAACCACTGAGCAATCTTGTCAGGCCCTCATTTCATTTTTTATATAAGTCAATTTGTGCAAGGTATGTTTGTTCCATCAGATAAATCTTGTCTTCTCTTAAGCCATTACTCTTACAAGCAAATACTGTTCACAGCTAACTTTTGTCACACATTTTTTTCTAATCACAGGAAATTGAACTCTTCAATGATCTGATAAACACCAAATTTTGTTTGCTTTCACTTTGATCAGAGTATGTCTAAAGTATTAAGAATTTAAATTCTATTTATCAGATATATGTAGGAATCCATTTTGAAGTTTACATCTCTTCTACAGAAAAGGAATTTTAGGTCAATTCTCCAGTTTCATGTTACAACCTAAATTTTCTCAAAGGTTTTACAATATTTGATTTCTCCAAGCCTCTTAGCCTTTGATACATGCTTTGAAAAGCAAATACCTCTTATATACATGTATGGACACATACACATTAATAGCATTCAGAAGCTTTGAAGTGGCCATTCCCCCCTTGAAAAGTAAATACATGTCATCCTTCCATTCTGTCCCTTGAATTAGAAATTGAAATCATTTCAGATTGTTCCTGTGACTTCCTAAAGTTGAATTTATTGGACACATATTTTGAGGTAAACATTAATTTGATCCTGATACTGTGCTCATAATGATTCAGTAACTTGCTATTTATTAAAGGGCAACACGCAAAATCCTCGACATTCACCTCCCAAATTCCAATCCTATAAAATAAGAACAATTCTTTTGCAGCTGGGCTGGTTACTGAGCCTTGAACATGAGTTTGCCTTTCTTATGTTCTAAGGCTCAAGCAGGCCATTTCCCCAACCAGGAATTCCTCTCAACTTAAAAAAAAATCTTCCATGCTCTAGGGCCAGATAAAAAAATTCCACCTGACTGTGATCCAAGACATTTTAGTACATGGTAGTACCTGCCTCTCAACCAGGAGCACATATTGCAATATTGGAAAAAAAGGAATCCATCCCTTTGAGATTTAAAGAAGCTTTCCATTCTCCAGTATTTAAACTTACTCTGTGTAGGAAGTTTTGATTCCCTAGAGGTTAGTAATTCCTACAACACAGGAACTATGTTTACATGTGCAGTGTTCCTTTTTATTAGTCACCTGCTTATACTTACCAAGGCATTCATAAGTAATTGTTTTAGAATGATCTTGCATCACAATCAGGCTAAATTCAGGACACACAAAATGAGAATAAATTTAAATTTCTGTTCAAGTTGGCAGGATAGGGGCCTGAAATAGGATGCATGATTTAGCAAAATAAAGGTATGCTATTTCTCTTAGTTATGAAGTAAAATTCATAACAGCTCCCAGTATAAAACATGTTTTAAGCATGTTAATAAGTGTAAAAACACAGGTTTCACACCCACCCTGAATCCTTGTATATGATAAAAATATATTGGAATCAGTAAAATACATGGGTGAAATTCAATAACGTTTGAGGAAATAAATAGAAAGTTATTCTTATGTAAGTTATAAGTACAGAATTTTGGCTGAGACTTGAACAAATCTAGTATCAAAGCATAAAACGGTCATGAATTTTCAGATAATAGGAAAAAATGTGCTTTTAATAAAGATAAGTTAGGACATAAATATTTTTGCAGCAAAAGAATTCTTGTAAGAAAGAATCACAGTGACATTGCTTGGCAGTGATAAGCTTCACGGCTGCCTTTCCATGGACCTCAAGTGCCTCATGAGGTAGCAGGGACAGGTCTTGTTTCATGGGCTACTTCCCTTTGCAGATGGTCAGCCCTTCTTTTTAAAGCGCACAAATAGAAGAGTATCCATTTTCCTTTAATGACAAAAAGACAACTGCTAATTTCTATGCTTCACTGAAAGCTATTTATTTTGTACTTCTATGGCATCTTGTTTACTATGTTACCAAAATGTAGTCAATATAAAGAGTGGAAAAGAAACACATGAGCAATGAAAATAGAAGCTTTGATAGAACTGTAGGAGAGTTTTGCGCTCCATCCAGCATCATGTAAAATGCAGTAGCTGGCGAATGTAAAAGGAACCCACACTGTGCTGTGTTGACTGTGCCTTACTGAAATGAAATATTAGTACTCTCCTGCTCACATTCTTTCACTGTGCTATGAAGCCTGGCTGAAGTCTTCCCTTTGAGAAGCCTGGATTGGTTCACATATTCAGATTTCAATGGGCTTTACAACGGGTTTCCTTATATGCCTCCTGTTGGCTCCAGGTTCACTGGGCTTAAACGGAGCCAAAGCGCCATATGGTTTGGGTAGAGGGAGCATGGTGTCTGCTTCAGGTATGTAGGCATTTGGACGCTGCTCCGCAGTCGTGTAAACACCATTGGGCAGCTGGCGATAATTTGCTTCTATGAACTCCTGCAAAGGAAGATATTTTTCATTTTAGTTTTCTGAATGCTCTTTATTGACTTCATCCTGGAGTCCTAAAAGCCAGTTGACTCTGAGCACTTTAGGCTTTGCTGGCTGATACCCATCAAAAGAAGGAGTACAGGAGGTTGGAGCCCCTCCCCATGTTGCATGTCACTGGAGTGACGGGTACAGCTCAAGCATCATGCAGAAGCTGGAGTTTAGGGTGGATCAGAAACTGCTGGGTGGGTTCCATATTCACTGTATTCCAACTCAGTTCTTCACAGTAAGCTCTTAATTATTTCCACATTAAAAAGATTTATTTTAAATTATGAAGTGTGTGTGTGTGTGTGTGTGTGTGTGTGTGTGTGTACATGTGAATTAGGGTGCCTGTGGAGGACAGAGGCATGGAGTTAAAGATAGTTGTGAGCTGCCAATATGGGCTGGGGACCAAACTTGGGTCCTCTTCAAGAACAGCAAGGTACTCCAGCCCCTATTCACATTTTGACAAAGACAGGATAGTATTTTTCCTTTGTCACTGATGAGTACATGTTACAGCAAAAGTGGTAAGAAGTATACTGGAACCAGAGGAGAAGAATGGTTAGCAGCTTGGTTTGACCTCAAGGTCCTCAATATTCTGTCCATGCTTCTGGAAAATAATCTGTGGCACTAAAACTAAACTCTTTGTGATGGAGAAAGTCGGAGGGCTACCACAGGTAAAATCTGACTATCCTAAAAAGGATAGTACCAGATGATGTAGAAATTATAAATCAGACCCTGTGCTGAGGTATTCCTGTGATTTGTTTGAAATATACCTTTTCTTGGGATAGAAAATTAATAGTGATTTTTTTGGGGGACATCCACTTGACAGTCTAAGTGAATTGTGTCCCCAGGATGTAGTCTTCTTGGAAAGAGATTCCTGATGGTAATCTTAAACTATTGAGAGGTCATGTGGTTAGACGGAAAGACTAGGTGCCAAATTTGCTGATGGTTTCAGTGATAGACCAAGGCCTTAGTCATGGTGGGAGGAGAAAGGGGTGACTTGGAGGTCTATGATGCATACCAGCTGCAGTGCTATAGAAGGCGTTGGTAACCATAATACTGCAGGGTTGTGGAGGCCAGAGCAGATGAACATAGAAGGGTCAGCTGTTGTGTGAGAAAGTGTTTGAGGACAGATATTAGAAGCCCACAGATAAAGTCAGTGTTAAAATGGTGATAACTATGCTGGGGGAGGCCATTGTATTCAGCCATATGAGCCCAGGAAACGACTGTGGGATATTGACGCTTCTCAGGTGTTCGTCAATGAGAAAGATAGCACTTCAGACTAGTAGTACTCTATCTTGTCCAGATAATAAACTCCTTTCTGGTAGCTACTGAGAATGTGCAGTAGGGTGAAAAAAATTAGCACATACAGGTTGAGCATGTCGAATCCAAAACCCTGATATCTAAAATGCTCCAAGTAGATGTGACAAGTAGAAAATACCATGGCCTGATGTCATATGGATTGCAGTCAAAATACAAATAAACTAGAATAGTGTATAAGTAAAAGTATAATAGTATATAAATAAAATAATGTATAAGGCATATGAAACAAATTAATTTTGTATTTAAACTTGGGTCCCATGCCCAAAATATTTCATGATGTATATGTGAACATTCTAAAAATCAGAAAATTCAAAACCTGCCTTTCAGATCAGGGATCGTCAGCCTGATTCATGAAAGAACTGATCTGAGGACAGCCTTTCCTGGTATGCTTTGTGGCAAAAGGGTTAAAGCTTACCTGAGACTTCTCAGCAGTGGCAAAGGCATACATTTCTTCATCTCGAAGTACCTTCAGCCAGTCTTTCTCGATCTCTCTGTTGAGTGGCAGGCCCTTTTCTATCCTGGAACTGCAGGAAAAGATGAATTCTTTCTTCTCCCTGACTTCCTTTTGGAGTTCAATGGTCAGGGCTTGTTTCATGGACAACTCAGCAACAAGAGCCATCATTTTCTCAGTAGCATTTTTGATCCTTCTTTGGTAGCTATTCATCTAGAATTGAAGAGCCCAAGGTTTAGTTAGTATAGAAATGTTCCATGAGGATGTGGAGAAAACAGTAGATTACTGGCTATCTGTGGTAGGGTAGTCTTGCCTGAAGAAAACAGGGATTCATTGGGACTTTATAGAAAATCTCCCAGAGTCTCAGGGATTGAACCTATCTTAGTGACTTTTCTGTTGCTGTGATTAAACACTGATGAAACAAAGAAGCAAATGAACAAACAGACAAAAAACTTGGGGAAGAAAGGGTTACACTTCCAGGTCACAATCCATCACTGGAGGAAGGCAGGGCAGGAATTCAAGCAGGAACCATGGAGGAACACTGCTTACTGGCTCACCCTCTGGCTCACTCGCTGGCTCATGCTCAACGATCTTTTACTGCTCAGGTCTACCTGCCTAGGGATGGGACTACCCACAGTGTGCTGGGTCTTTCCACTTTTAATCATCTGTCAAGACACTCCTTTACAGACATGACCACAGGCCAGTTTGATCAAGGAAATTCTTCAGTGAAGGTTCATACCTCTCAGGTGACTCTAGATTATGTCAAATTGACAACACTAACCAGGTTGTGTAAATAAGAGAAACAAGGAGAGAAATAGTGTTCATGTAGTTACTAGCTTCCAAGGTGGACAGCATTGAGGAGGCTAGCTGAGTGTTTATTTTTAAGAGGTGAGAAGAGGAGGGTGTCCTTGATGCCTAAGTTCTGTCTCCCTTTTGCCATATTATCAGTTTGAGCCTCTCCAGCTATGTAAGGGACTTCCTGATCACACTGAAGTGGTTTGTGTTTCTCTAATCTTATAAGCGACTTCCAGAGACTCTGCCATTGGCTTTGACAAATCATCCTTCTCTGAGAGGGGAATTTATTTTGAAGAGGGAAGGAAGGCCTCATTTGCAGAAACATGGAGTATACAAGCTTAAATAAACCTCAGCATTCCTTATTTTATGAGGACAAGTTGTATATTACATAACTGTGATTAGACTCTTCAGAGCGGAAGTACAAAGATCAGATGAAAAATGGTGTTCTCACCAATTTTTTAAGCTGAATATTTACAGTAGTTTACTATGTAGCATGCCAGAACTGTTTCTAGAACAGGGCTGATTCATTCATGAATGCTATTCTAGATTCTATTACATGCAAGACCTTAGGGAAACTCAAAGAAATGAGGAAGCATCACTATCCTCTGGAGCTCCGTCTGGGGCATAGGTATCCACCATTATCAGATAAGATCCCGTACTCTCAGGGTGGTATGGCTGTGGACTCAATCACCTTCATCTGTTTTCTTCTTTCTCATCCTGCTAGACCAGACCATGTGAGCTTCACATGGTATGGCCAGTGTGCCCCTTCCTCTTTGTTTCTGCCTCATGTGTAGCATGTCAATACATAGCACGCATTCAGTAACTATTGCTGACACGTTAAGCCCTGTGCTGGAGGACAATCCAAGGTACCGTAAACGGCAGGTGAGTGGAACATTTTCTACTGTGCATGTTATGATGCTTTTGCCTCTTGTGTCACCAGCCCCCCTCCCACCAGGGTTACTTTTAGAAAAGCTTTCAGTAGTGCCACCCCTAGCAGTTTGGAATCTCCAGTCCTAAAGTCTTAAGTATATTCTCTCAGGAGGGGCCACGTTCCTGGCCTTTCTTCACTAGTCAGCCCTGGAGTTGTGTGGCTGCTGTTTGCTTTAATGGTCCCTTTCCATCTCTGGGTTCTGGATTCTGGGTTTCTAGCATTTTCTACTCAGGCCACTGGATAAGTGAAACTTTCTGTTCAAAAGGAACTAGAAAGGATCTCACTTTGTATATTACCTTGATAAATAAAACTTATATATGGTCCTTGAAAAGCTTGGGCTTTCTCACCATGAAATGAAATGAATTCACTCAAGGAGCAGACTGAAACTTGTTCTGGACTGACTATTCTCTAAAAGTTATATCTACATGGTGGTATGTTTCTTTAGTCATAAAGCTTCATCTCTCTAGTGCTTCTCAATAAATGAAGCAGTCTGGAAAATGAAAGGTGATAGAGGAAGCTGGAGCAGGGAGGGAGTGGGGGCGGAGAACAAGCAGGAGTCTCAGGCAAACCTTCTTGGCTAAGAGCAGCGTGTCCTTCTTGCAAGTCTGAGTTTTGCCTGTGAGCCTGTTTGTGAGCTGAGACACCTGTTCATAGATGAACTCCTTTTCTAGTAACTTCTCCTCCTTCTTGGCCAGCTGTAGTTCCAGCTACAGTTGAAAAAAATTTCATGAGTTATAAAATGAGTTACATAAGATACAGTCTTCTTTCCTGGTTAGAGCCCTGTCTGATCCCCACTCCACAACAGAGACATATTGCCTTCTTAGTTGCTGAAACACCTCTGAAATGATCTGGATCTGGATCTAGGCCATGCCAGAACTGCCCACCCCAAACCCTTCCAGATACCAATGGGAGTTCTTTTGCCCATGGTGAACTCTGGCCCTCTAGCTCCATCTGGTTCCCCTGATGCATTTCTTTTAATAGGTTCCCACCAGGATGACAAATTAATGTAGGTATTCAAGAAGTCAACATTGGTGTTGGGCACCTTTGGAATCTTGAAACCATTGGATTGGTTTTTGGATTTTGACTTGTTTTAGCAAGTATCTGAATCAAACTTAGAATTTAAGACTAGATTCCAGCAAAAAGGAGATATTAGTGGTTAGAATAATGAAAGCTATGTCTGCCAGCATAATGGGAAACAGTACTGCAGGTATTGGTGAGTGAAAGATGTGGCTTTAAGGGAACACTGTTTACCATATCTAGCTTCTTGGCAATTTCTTCTTCAGTTAGATCTCTCCCCGGAATGTAGCGGACTCTGTTCTTACTGTCAGGATTTATAAATTGCTTCTCCAGGTCTTTTATCCTGTCTGTGCACTGTGAAAACTATGGTATAAGAAACAAGTATCAGCTTTGAATCTAACTCTGAAGCTTGGTAAATCTCTGTGAGGAACAGTCTCAGCTACGCGACTGCTTTGTTAAAGTGCGGATGAAGAAATGTGAATCCTCCCAAACAGGAATGATAACCACACATAGTTTTATAGGGAGAGATGTGACACACAGTGACAATCCAAATGCATTGGCTTCCCTACCAAATATCTGCAAAGTCAGACAATCATTTTTCCTAAACCTTAGTTTCCTCAGTTGCCACATGACGAGGCTCGATCCACGGGGTGAGACAAAACACGTAAGGACTTTAGACCATGCCCAAAAGTGATACAGGTAGACTTTTAGATTTTAATTGATGACCCTCTTCCCTATAAAATGAATTTTAGGTGGTAAGATTTAAAAATCGTGACAGAATTTATTAGTGACAACTCTTAATGTTCCCTTTGTTTTCTTAATTAGGAAACTAAGAAATAATAGTGATGCTTGCTTATCAAAACTAGTGTCTTCATTTAATTTTCCCTTTGGGCATTTAAGGAAATATGGTTCACTTTCCCTATAAAATAATTCTCTTGGGTCTTAGAGTATTTCGTGAGGTTTCCAGGATCCCTAAAATGGGCTATATTACAAGAACCAGAAGAATATGACTCATCATAATTCTTGGATTAGTCTGTTGAATAATTAAAAGCTGTTTCAAACAACTGAAAAGAAAAAAGCAATTTTAACAGAATTCTAAAAATGATGCAAAAAGGGAAAGAATAATAGTAATAAACCTAAGACTGAAACAAACAACAGGATATGACAAGGGTCTGGCTCTGGCCCAAAATTCAAAATTTCACATCACATCTTTCCAAGGAATTTGACTGCTGTGTAGACAATCAAATAATTAAGTGCAGTTTGAAAAAAATGGGAAGATTTCCACTCAATTCTTCTTAAGCTTACACATGGCCCCTATGTCTCAACTTATCCAAAGTCAGAAAGGGTTTCCATCAGATTAAATACATTACATTTCCCTAAGGTAAAAGTGAATTTGTATTTCATAGTGAATAATTGATTTTTTTCTATGAATAATTAACTTTTTATTATTTAAATTTTTAAATCATGCAAATTTCAGAACACATGAACTGAGATACATGCGCCTGTGTCTCAGCTGCAGCAATTATCAGCACACAGCCACACTGATTTCATCTGTGCCTCTGTCTTCCAAGCTCCTGCTGAATTGAACAGTCAGTCCTAAGGTATCAAACTGTCCTTTAAATGTCTATCTCTCTACCTACAGATTAGTCCAGCTCTCAGAACTCATGAGAAAAGTTTCTTTGTGCAGTGGATGGTGGTTAATGCAGAAACACACTATTGGTCAAAGTGCAGAGAACAAGTGTCTGTGGAGTGCTCAGCCACAAATCGGGCATCTATGGCACATCCCCTCCCCAAGGCTCAGAAACCATCATGGAAGAGGGAGTAGAAAGATGGTAAAAGCCAGAGCTTGGGGAGGACCAGAATGAAACAGTGTTATCTGGGCATGACAGAACACTGCAGTTATAAACTCATGGCAGCTGTGGTTACCTGCACGAGACCTGCATAAGATCAACCAGTTAACATTCTAGCATGGAGTGGAAAAGGGTTCATGAGGCCCCACCCCTAACTGAGGAGCTATGGACAGTTAGTGGTTTCTAGAGGAGAGAGACTCAGTATTCTTTAGGGGTGTGGCTCCCAGTAGGTTGGCCACACTCCAGAGGATAGCCCATACCTAAGAGTATAAGGGTAGCACAAATTGGAGTAGATGGCTTAAACAAAGAGGATTAAAAAGTTGCAGGGGTGGGGGTGGGGGCAAGGAAGTAGATCTGGGAATTGGGATGAGTTGGGGGTGAATATAATCAAAATATATTGAATGAACTTCTTAGATAATTAATAAAAGTATTTGTTAAAAGTTAGTCCTAGATATCATACAATTTCATCCATATTACTTAAAAATGCTTTTTATTTTTATTTATTTTTTTATTTTTTTTATTTTTTTATTTTTTTCAGACTCAGGTCTCATTGCATACCTTAGGCTGACCTCAAAGTCACAATATTCCTCCTGTTTCAGTTTCCTGAGTGGTGAGATTACACATGTGCACTACTATGCCCAGCTTAAGAAACAAGACTTTATTGGGACTGGAGAGATGGCTCAGTGGTTAAGCACCAGCTACTCTACCCACATGGCAGCTAGCAACCATCCTTTACTCCAGTTTCAGGGGATTCTGACACCCTCTTCTGACTCTAAGGGCATTGCCCAACACAGGTACACTTACATGCATGCAGGCAATACATTCATACACATAAACGAAAAAAAAAGATGACTATAAGATAAAATTTAACCACAGTATCATTTCACACCTAAAATATTAGCTATTTCATATGTAATGTCTACCTAGTTTCTTATTTCTCCATTGTTCTATAAAGTATATATAGATACATTCAT